CCAATGTGAAACTCGTCCAACCCCCCTTTCCCGCTCTTTTTTTGACCCTTTGTAATTCTTTTTGTTCATCGTTTTTTGCGCTTTTTCGTTGTTATCGCTTTATTCTAGAGAAGTTCTATCAATTCCCGTCAAAAAAGGGTACCCTTAATTTATTGCGAACGGTGCCTTTAAAGGTTTCTTCATGATGCTATTCGGGAACACAGTTTAAAATAATTTAGGCATCTGATTTTAGACGAGTAATGGAAGTGATTGTCCGAAATGGTGCAAAAAGGCGGAGAAAACACGGAAATCGGTGTAGAAAGAGAAAGCCTCAGAAAAATATGAGACTTCATAAGTGGGTCCCGGTGTGAATGATGTATCCTCTACTGCTCTTACAATCTTTGAAAACTCGTAAGCCTTGGGTGTTAGGTCGCTAAGCAAGTTTTGTCAATTTTGAGACACTTATTACGACCTATCTAGGCCGTTTTTCGACCATCACTCACGCTACCCTGGAGAGTCAGTTCATCTAAGAAGGAAGCTGTTTTTGAAGTGAGTTGCGCCTTTACCGAGTTTCGCCAGGAAGATCCCTTTAATAAATTCTGCAACTAAGCGGGGACCCTTTGGAAGTCTTGTTATATCTTGTATTTGTGAGAGCGAATTCAAGGAGGAGATATACTCTTCTTCTCTACTACTAAGCGTTAGAGCGCTAAAATGTGCCGCAGCCTCCTTTGCGGGTCCATTTTCGCGCTTACAAATAAGCCAGGTTAGCACTGTTCCTTTGCTAGGCTTAGAAGATAGGAAGCAACGGGGTGGGCAGTACGATCACTTCAAAGGACTGCACTACAACCCCGTTGCTCACTCTTTGTAAGCTTATTCTCAATGCAAAAGCATCATCTCGGTAGGAAACATTCTATGATCATTACAGGGCTGCAAAGCCGACAAACCCTTTTGGTCTGCGTTCTAACGCGGCGTAGAAGGGTTTGTCGGCTTTGCAGTCCTGCAATGTTAGTATATTCCTCCACCATAATAAGGACGGGCAATATCTCAGAGGCTTTAATAAATGTCATGCCCACCTACATAAATATTGTGCTAGGCGAGGAAAGGATGAATGCTACAAATGTAGAAATATAATAGATGAAGATAAATGACTTTCCTTGAAAATTTTTGATGATGAATGATGAAAGATTATTTTTGGGACTGAATACAGTAGTATACGCGTGGGGGGACATGTAGGCGTCCTTCTGTTGCTGGATTTCTCCACATCAATAAAAACGAGCGATGACTTAGGTGCACCGCCCACATAAATATTGTACTCAATGATATTGATCAAAGATAAAATGAATGTTGCAGATGAGAAAATAAATGTCGATACAAGAATGTCCCTAAGGTTATTTGGAGAGGATAGGAAGGACGAGAAGAAGAAGAACAACAACAAGAAGACGAGCAAGAACAATGAGAAGAAGAACAAGAAGAACGAGAAGCAGAACAAGAAGGATGCAAAGAAGAAGGGCGCGAAGAAGAGCAAAAAAATGAGAAAAGAACGAGAAGAAGAACAAGTATAATGAGAAGAAGTACAGGAAGGACGAGGCAGAAAAAGAAGGACGCGAGGCAGAGCAAGAAGTTTTCTCAGAGCAAAGCTGAAACGGTCCATCTTTCTTATATGCACTTTAGCGCTCAGAGTGCAGATATAAAGAATATAAAGGAACGCTTATAAACGTGCAATCGAGAATATAAAAAAAATCATTCAAAAATAAAGAAAAAACGGAGGGGAGCAAGGGGTCGTAGGGGTGGGTGGTGAGGAATCAATACGGGTGGCCCTATTGAAAGATTCAAACATTGACCACACTTAACGACCTGATCTACCATCACCGTACAATGTGAACTTAATGAAAAATCTAAGCAGGGAGCGAACCTGTTCGAAGCTGCATTACCATCCAAAGATGCGATGACAGAGGCTGCTCCAAGAGTTCTTTCAAAAAATGGAAGGAACAGTGTTTTTGGGAGTCATTGGAGATATTCCATCAGAAATGCTCTTGAAGCTTGCGTTCTGCTTTGCAATAGTACTCATGGTCAGAACAATCTGATTGGCTACAATTTAGAAAGCCTTGAGCCCACTAATCCAACTCCTTCTTTATATCCTTTTATCCTTATAGAACACCTATGAACATACTTCTAAACTAAAGAAACTCAGCTTCGCTTCTGTATTAGTTGTATTGACACACTGATCATTGTTCGAAAGGATGGAGGCACAACTAGACAGTAATCGAAAAAAACGTATCTATTGATGAAATTCTCCTTTCTTAATCTTTTTTCTTTGTATTTGCACTTCCAAAAGAGAGACAGTATATGTTTTCAGCGATTTCTTGGTCTCTTCATCCTGGTATCCTCCCAGTCCCATTGTCTGATTAACAGTTTAATTGCGGCAATTGACTCATCTGTTCGTTTGCAAAAGGTTGCCCTCAAAGGAATTGAATCCCATCTAACGCTTGGTAGGCCTTCATACTAATCATAACACTACGAGCACGCACTCTGTATGGTAACCTTCTAGAGTTTTTAACGAAACTTCCACCTCGCCCATTCAACCTTTCACAGCACTGTTTTTCGGGTGTCTTTCTCTCGAAAAGACACAAAGCTGGTCTGCGATGACAGGCGGCAACTTCCTTGCGTTGGGGATGGGGTCTATTCGGGCAAACACTTTACTCGTGATTCTCGCTAGCCGTTTTCGAAATGCTGTTTTAAGGAGACCTTCATTTTCATCCAAGCAGATAAGAGCAATATTGAGTATGTTGGGACGCTACTAGTTCAGCAATACGATTTTTGTTGGATCGTTAACCAAGGTTTCCAAGACGCTCATACACCTGAGCCGGAAGTCCACAGCTCTTGGCAAATGAATAGGTTTGATTGCCGACGAAAACATATAAATACGAAGCCACAAACAGACGGTATAGGTTCATTTATCCAATATTTCAGTTCTTTGGGCCTCGATTGCCATCGCTACTGCTACGGAAGTACAAACGAATTCTGATGCCGCACTGCCACAAGAAAATAGACCGTTTCAGAGCGTGAACATGGGACTAATGCATAGGCGGAGAGCTCGGCGCTCTCCCTGTGCTGGATTACTGGATTACTCTACATCAATCAGAAACGAATACTTGCTTAGAGAGGTCCGCCACTGTCTATCCCAAACGTGGATGAAATAGGAGGGAGGGTGCGAAGGGATAGCAACCCTTCCACTGTCAAAAATATTATTCATGCTAAAAATAAGAAGAACACATTCAAACCTGTTGCATCGAGGTAGCCTAACTTTAGCCTTTCGACGGATAGCATCCCTAAGCTGAGTTCAATTTTCTCACCCAAAAAGAAACTTTTTATTGGAACATGGAATGTGCGTACGCTGTATCAGTCTGGAAACCTTGCACAGCTGCTCCGAAAACTCGATAACTACCACATGGATATACTAAGGATCAGCGAAGTCCGATAAACTGACCAAGGTGTAGGAGAATCGATGAGAAAACTAAGACTACATTATACTACTCTCGGGCCAGGAAAAAGGACATGGAAGAAGAATGACATTCGTTTTGAGCGAGAGAGCTGCGGGGGCACTTGTTGTATGGGAACCAGTGAATGAGAGAATAATCATTCGCGATTCGTAACTCGGCACATCTGCATCACAGTTGTTCAAGTATATGCGCCTATGAGGACACGAGTGAGGAGATGAAAGCCAGCTTCTTTGAGCGCTTAAGGATACTACTGATGGGATACCGTGAGTTCTGAGACTTATAACTGGAGAATTTCATGCGACCCAAGCCAAGACCAAACTGGATTCGAGCGAACAGTTAGGCCTTTCGCTTGTTCTGAGCATCAAAGTAGCAATGCCGAAAGAATAGACGCCTTCCTTGAGCAGAAACGGGGCGCAGCACAGTCGATCAGCACAAACGGATCCAAAAGAAAACCTGGTGATCGTCCGATGAAAGAACAAGAAACGAGATCAACTGCATCTGCGTAACCAAGAAGTGGAGAACATTTCCAAGATGTCTGGGTGTTCTGAAGAGCGGACATGGGCTCACATCATCACTTAGTGAAGGGGTCAATCAACTTAGGCTGAAGAAGCACGTGAGGAAAGCCAAAGTCACACGACCATCTGATGTGAAGAAGCTGAAAGATCCGGCCACCACTGCAAGCTTGCCCTAGAATTGCGAAATCGCTTTGAAGTATTAGAAAAGGTGAACACTCTGGAAGAAGAACGGACATTCGTCGAACGAGTCATCCAGGATTGTGCTCAGAAAGCAATTGGTTTAAGTAAATAAAAAGGAGAAAGGAAAAGAATAATGGATCCAGGAAAACACCTGGCAGAAGATAGATGAGAAGAAGCATTGGAAACTTCGGAGAGAGCATACGAGCTCGTCGAAGTAACAAGTAGATATGCTGATCTGGATCATCTCTTGAGAAGGTTTTGTCAAAAAACAAAGGACCTGGATTTTGCAAAAAGGAATAGTAGCCTAGCATGCAGCAGAGCGTGCAGACTCGAAAATCTTTTACCGTATTTTTATCCTCTCTATATATAAAGCGGTAAATTTGTGTGTCTGTTTATATGCCCGTTTGTATATCCTCTCGAAAGTCACGTAGGCACAATAAAGAGTGTGAAGATCAATCAAGCGCGGTTAGGAAACAATTATGAAATAGAAAATCAACTATCCAGCTTATTTGTGACGTCACAGACTACTTGCCCCCCCCCCCCCCCCNAATGGAAACGACTCCACGATCACCTATCAGTGTCAAGAAACCAATACCCACAAAGCGGCACCAGATCGTTCAAATTGGATAATACCTCCGAATGGGGAAACGGTTATGAAAAGGGAAGTCAACCGATACTGTTTATATTGGTTCTCTAACAAGTCGTAGGTAAGCGGTAGTGGATATGGTATGGTGCACGCGTTAGTGTACATAGCCAACTGGTTTTTAATAAAATGATAGAAAGTTCGAACAACACCAATTTGCCTATCAAGGACAGTAATCGCGCACTCTTTCTGAACGTAGAAGAACAGAATGAAGGATGGCTCTAGCACTTTCGAAACAGCCTTAACCATCCTAAGCCACAGGGGAGATACTGTTTTAAGCTAGTGGGCCGACTAATGAGCTTGACGACAGCGTTGGCAGTACAACCCTAAAAGAAACAGCCGAAGCTATTCAATGCCTTTTCTGCTTTCATAGTCCGACGGCGTTTCGGAGCGCCAGCCGAGGTTGTGCTAGGGGAAGGAGGGAGGCAGACGGTTGGTCGACGCGGTCGCGCCGCGCCAAAGCTCCTTCGAAGAGCTGAAAACAAAGGAAAACAAGATCAAAAACCAAACAACAAGGGCTTGTGCGAATGGCTTTCGATCTTGTTTTTCTTTGTTTTCCGCCCTTCGAAGGGGCTTGTGCGCGACGCGACCGCGTCGACCGACCATCTGCCTCCCTAGCACTACCTCGGCTGGCACGTCGCCACGCCGGCACGCCGGCGGACTATGAAAACAGCCCTTCGGATAGCCCTTGGCATACATGAGATCCCAGCAGAATTATTAAAAGCAGGAGAGAACGACGGTGAGGAAACTCCCGGAATCGTATAGTTGCTGGACTGAGGAGATGTTCCAGAAGACTGGAGGAAAGGAATAATTGTGAAGGATTGAGATACAAAAATTTAAGAGGTAACACATTTCTCTCGCTTCCAGGAAAAGCATTTTGTGTCATACTATTGCGACGACTCCGTGACGTGAATGACAACCAACTGAAGGAAAAACAGAAAGGAAAGATCGTGTTTTGAGCATATATTTACTCTTCATAACATTACCGAGCATGCATTGAGTTCAAGCACTTCATCTACTTCGTGGGCTTCAGAAAGGCATTTGATAGCGTATGAGTCATGAATGAGATCATTCAGATCATACAGCAAGTGAGGAAGATCTGCGTCGCTCTGGTATGCATAGTCTCTACGACGTTGTGGCAGGGCATAGACTTGGATTGGTTTTTCATGCGTTGCGTATGCATCCTCTGTTCCCAAAAACGACCGTGTACTAGACACCTGTAGGAGCGAAACGAGGAAGAGGAGAAAGTGAAACACTAGGAGAAGAACATTTGTTAACGACCTCGAACTCATGAATATTTCCAGAGAGAAAGAGCAGTTATTGCGCGCGATTGACGGCAGTGGAAAAACGCCCGATATGTACATAGAACAGCATGGGAGGAAACAAGTCTGAGTAAGTTGCAAAGAGAAAGTCACGCAATAACTGTCACGCACCCTCCACGTCCATACTGTACAGTGAGCGGGTGAGGAAAGGTCTCACAATTACAAAGGTAGAAACGAATTTTGATACCATACCGCCATAAAAAAATAGATCGTTTCAGAGCGTGAACAAGGTAGTAATGCGTAGGCGGAGAACTCGGTTTCCGCCAATTGGTGTGTTCCTTCACTTCAACTGAGAACGAGCAATGGCTCAGAGAAATCAATAACTGTCATATCCATAGTGTACTCAGTGAGATTAGAAGAAGAAAGGTGTCACTGCTACGAATGTTCAATACAAACGAATTTTGATACCATATTGTCATAAAATAATGAAGCGTTTCATGTATGAATACGGGAGCAAACGCGTGAGCGGGAATCTCAGCGCAAGACTTCTGTGGATTGCTCCACCCAACTAAGGACTAACTATGGTTCAGAGACATACAATAAGTGTCATACACAAACAAACTTCGACACCATACTTCATCTTCTTCTCCTTAGCATCAATCCCGCTAAGTAGTAAGATCCGCTACTCTCGTCAATCGTATCCATCTCTTTCTATCTACGGCACCTCATACCGTCATTTTTGCTAAAACAATGTCTTTCTTAATGAGGTCCCGCCACCTCTTCCTATAGGCTCCTCGTAGTCATTTCTCTTGAAACTCAAACTCCATTACCTCCCTTACTGGAAGATTCTGTGATCCTCTCAGGTCGTGTCCGCATCAATGAAGACGCTAGTCTCCCATCTTTAGCTGTACAGGAGCTGTTTGCATAAAGACTCTAAAGTTTTCGTTTCCGATCTGGTCCATTTGCTCTCAACCACAGACCCATCTCAGCGTCCTTATTTGAAGGAGTTATGGTGTCCCATTCATACTCAAGGACCAGCACTCGCTGCCGAAGATCACCTTGGGCGTCACCGCTGCCCTCTACACATTTACTTTAAGCGTCCTAGAGCACCCCGTCGATTGGAGAAGATACCTGTGAACTATTTCACTTCATCCGTACAGCGTTTATTCGGGCTTTTACAGCCTGGCCCACGCTGCCACAAGCGACTGGATCACTCGCTTGGTATCAGATGCCTGTACTTTCGATGCCTTACCCAGGACCGCCTACAATTAATTCCGTGCACCGCTTGGAGATGCAGAACTTGGTCTTTTTAACGCGTATTATTATACATTATCCGCCAGATCTTTTTGCCACTTCTGCAGCTTCTCCTGAAGCTCTTCTCCGCTCTACACTGTCATAGCAGTGTCACCAGCGAAGACCATGGTCTTCAGTAGTTCATGCAGCAGTGTGCTTGTGTAGACATCCGGTGTGGGTAGGAAGAGGAACGACTATAGAGCTGATTCCTGAATTACCCCAACCGTGACGTATATTGCTTCCAGGTTGTCAAAAGTGCGTATTGCTATTGTGGATTATCGGTCATATCCTCGGTCAGATAGATCAGGTATATCGGGAACTTTCGTTCCTGGATCGCTCTCAAGTGGACCTGCAGTTTCCGACCTTTTCCAGATCTAGGAAGGCCAGGTAGCAGAACGCCCGCTTTTCTCGGTACACCTCCCTTCATTTGCGTGACTCTGGAACACAACATCGCGTCTCCCTTTCGCTTGAATTGCGAACGGCGATGTTGCTTTTCCGGACATCTTAACTTCTTTTTTCAGAGGTCATTGGGTGAGCCCACTAATCTTTGCTCTTCGAGCGCCTTCCACGTCTCGATGGGGATACAT